CTCCTTCACTGTCCCTATCAGTGTCAAAGAAACACTACCTGACACTAAACTGAAATGCTCCCCTTCACTTGGCCTGGAATCATGAAAGCACTGATCTGCTGTCTGAAGACCCTTTTGTAAAAACAAACTGACAACTTGTTGTGTTTCCTCTCATTCTGAATTCCCGTCTCTGGGGAGCAGGAAAGCAGCCCTTCCCACCAGGGCCGACTCCTCCTCCTGGGCCCTGGACCCCATGTAAACTATTCCTCCTGCAGGGCACCCCTGAGCCTGGCCCATCTGCTCCTCCTCCTGCAGGGACTCCTGAGCCTGGCCCATCTGCTCCCCAGCAAGCCCAGACGGAGGGAGGTTTTCTGTTCTCTAAAGACCACCTCTGTTATTCCATGGTGGAATTCCTCTATACTTGGATTTCTCACCTGGTTCTCACTTTCTCAGTCTACACACCCTTCATGTCCTGAGGCATGGGGTGCCCTGAGACATTGCAAGGCAGTCAACTCTGACTGCTGGGGGACTCAGCAGGACCCCTGCCTCCTGATCCCACCCAGACACTCACCAGCCACCCTGTGTGCTCCCTGGGCTCCCATATAAGCCTCTTTCTGGCCTTGCCATCCTACCACCAACCTTTCTCTGGAATTCCAAACCCACTATTGTAAACTCCATCAGAGTACAGTCTATGTGCTTCCCACCCCCAAACTACTCTCTGCCCTCCTTCCTTCCCTGCTGGGTGACCACCATGGCTGCTAAGCGCTCTTCCTGCCCCCCCTCCCCCTACAGCATCCACCTTACGACTGCTGGATGATTCTCCTGATGCCTGGTCTGATCATGGCTGCCACCTGCCCCAGCTACAGTGGCTCCCCCATCCTCTATGGCTTCACGCTGGGGCAACTAGATTATCTACATAAAAAATACTTTTCTCAATTTTCCTCTGTATGCTGGGAACTCCAGATGAGAGGAAACAATCATACTTCTCACTCACATATTCTACTTCCATGCCTTTATTGTTTCTCTCTTCCTATATTTTCTCAAACCTCGAGCAATAAGCAGGACAATGGGCCTCCAAAGATGTCCACCTTCTAACTTCTAGAAGCTTGAGTAGCAAAGGGGAATTTCAGATGCACGTGGGATTAAGTTGCCAATGGGCTGATATTAAAACCGATGGTCCGGGATGATTCCCGTGGTCCAAGGAAGCCACTGAAAGTGTAAGAGGTAGAGGGAACATGGAACAGCCACCAAGGGAGGAGAGTGCTGTGGCCCTAAGAGCAAGCAGAGAGCCCAGAGCATTGGGGGCAGCCTGTAGGTGCTGGAAAGAAAAGAAACCTGTTCTCCCCAGAGCCTCCCAATGCAGTCCTGCCAACCTGACTTCAGGAAGAACTATGCTGGACTTCTGTCCTCAAAGAACATGCAGTAATAAATTGGCATTAAGCCACCAAGTTTGTGCTAATTTCTTACAGCAGCCATCAACATAGAATACAGCTCCATTAGCAATTACCAAAGCTCCACCCAACTTTTAGGGGACATCGGTAGGTAAGTCCATATTTGTCACTTCCTTGCTGCGCAGTTGTGAAGCCACTTAACCTCCATACCTTAGCTTCCTCGTCTACATATTTAAAAGAAAATCTCTTAAGGTGTTGTGAGGATTAATTATAGGAAGCAATATATACAGTCAACATAGCAAACAAATAGAAACAGATCAATGAACAAAAAGTTGAAGAATATGAAGCAAAAAAGATGTTATTTTAAAATTAAAAGAGCCCATATAACTGTTTTCTGTATCTTTCTTTATAATAGGAATAATTTGAAAACAGGACTAGCAAACCTATTATACATACTATGATCAAATAAGCAGTCCCTTCACCTATCCACATGTTCAACTTCTGCCTTGAAGAAAGCAATATTCCTTCTATAGTTTTATCTTAGAAATACAGTGGAGCATCACGGCTCTGTGCAGTCTAATGGTAGCTTCATAATTCACCAATGCATGTAATAAAAGTGGAGTGCAAATGGGACGCTCTTCTTAAATGAAAACTGTATGAAATAGCTATCTCACTATTGAAGAGTGTTAGGATTGTGGTAATAAGAATAATTTTCTTTTTTTTTTAACCTTTATTTTATTTTTATGTGGTGTTGAGGATCAAACCCAGTGTCCTGCATGTGCTAGGTGAGCAGTCTACTGCTGAGCCACAACAGTCCCTAAGGATAATTTTCTATTGAAAAATTAACTATGCTTATAACAATTTTAAAGTATTTAAAAGCTAGTGTTTAAAAAATAAATTAAAAGGACAGAGCTCCACTGGCAGCAAAAAACAAAAATAGAAAGTCAAGCTGTGGTGATACAGAAGGATGCTGTGGACAGGTATTCGTGAGGCTGCTACCATGCATGAGCATGTGAGAGGGTGGCAATTACTGTGACAGGAGGAGGAGCAGTCAGCAGCTTAGAATCCCAATTCAAGATGACGTGCATCGAGGTCTCTCATTATCCAGGTGTATCTGCTAATGTACTTATAAAGGGCCAATTCTATATTCTAGTATGAAGTATTAGGAGAAGATGAGAGGGACAGCAAATTCCCAGTGAGCTCTAAGTAGCTTAGAATACAGTTCCATTTGAAGAAAATACTAAATCCACAAGGAAAATTGAGAGTATACATGAAAAATTTTAATCTAATGCTATTTAAATGGTTACCTGAAGCATTTTTTTAAATTTGAAATGTTAAATATTTATAAAAATAGATTTTTTTATTTTAGTATCTAGCAACAAAAAATAATGGCTTTAAAGCACTTATTCAACAAATATTTACTAAGAACCAAATTTGTACTAGACACTGAACTTGGAAGTAAGAATGTGAAAATAACTGGAGTACTGCCAGCACCCAAGAGGACTGTAAATGAGGCCCAAGGGCCATGTCTGCTAAGCAGGGAAGGCTCTGGTGCACAACGGAGGAGAGCGAGCTACCCAGTCGTGAAGCAGGACCGCCATTCAGAGACAGCAGACATGACTGAGCACTGAAGGATCACGGGAAAGGACAGCCATGTGCACAAAGCCCTCAGAGTATAGAAAGGCCTAGAATGGGACAGTGTCAGGGACCTCAGGATGACCAACCATGGGGAGCAACGTGTGCAGACAAAATGGAAAAGCACAGGGGTTCTAGAAGACAGGGTAGGCACGTCATAGGCTCAAAGCAGGGGAAAGCTGTCTTGAAGACACACACAGATCCTGGTCTAATAGGGGCTGACAGATGGTGACATAGTAACACAGATAAAGGAATGTGTCTGCCCAAAAGGGAATTGATGAACAACAACAAAAAAAAGATGACTCAAAAACATTGTGACTTGGCCCTCTAGGCACTGTTGGGAGAAAGCATGCTTAGGCAGCAAACTTAAAGAATGACTTCCAAATACTTGAAAGAATTACAAACGTCAAGGATTACTGTCCAGTGGGCAAAGCAATCCACACTATGAAGACAATATAGTATAATCCCTTCCCGTTCAAGTTCTATAGCTCAACCAATCCTTCAGTAATCAGCATTTAGGAGGGCCACACTGGGTACACTGCCCTGTGGTAACAGAGCCATCAGAGGTCCCTGTCCTCATGGGGCGCCACACCAGTGAAGAGCAATGATAAGATATAAATGAACATACATGTATTTTTTATATGGTGATGAAAGTTAGAGAGGAAAATGGGGCAAATACAATGAAAGCGAACTGGAACACGGCAATCTTAAATAGGAAACCCAGGAGCTGAAAGAGGCACCGCTATGTCCGGGAAGAGGAAACAGCAACACAAGAAAGGGAACAGAAACCCCTGTGCGGGAGTGTGGCTGCAGCCAGGGGAGAGCCAGGCGCTTGGCCAGGGGACACCTTGCTTCTCACTGTTCACTCTGGTTAGTCTCTGGTTTCCCAGCTCCTGGAGTCTGGGTTTCTGATCCTCAGCGCTAAAGGCCAGAGGCTGGGCTACAACCAATCCCCCAGGCCAACTGGGAGCCACCCCAGGAGGCTTGGAACTGAAGACCAGATGACTCCTTCAGCCTTCTCTGGCTTTTGCCAACAGAGTGAGTGATGAACCACAGTGCAGTGAGACTGGAGAGAGATGAGCAGAGGAACCCAGCGGCCACAGAGCAGGAGACAGACAGGGGAGGATGCTCAGCCCACCTGTCCTCAGGGGAAAGGAAGGGGAAAGGGGCCCAAGGCCAGGAGGCAAGTGGCAGTCAGGAGACAGCAGGCCAGCTTAATCCCTGGGGACACGGGCGCTCCCAGGGCTCCCAGAACAGAAGCCCCAGGTTGCCTCGGATTTAGAGAAAATCTACCTTTTTCAAGAAAGAAACCAAAATTAAATCAATGCAAGAATTAGTAACTAGAGGAAGAGTTATAATCAAGAGGGATTTTAGACAAAGGTGTGGAAATTAAAAATGTACTTGATAATCATAATCATGTGGCTATTTTTTTTTTCCAGTTTAAAAGAATGACATTTTAAAACAGGCATCAGGTCTTGGGATGCAGCTTAATGCTAGAGCACTTACCAAGAGTGGGCAGGACCCCAGGCTCCACCCCAGCACTACTAAAGTACCCTAACAAAATAAGCACTTCAAATAACTAATAATGAAA